GTAAATAAGATATATGTTTGTGAATACTTTAGTTGAGTTGAATATTAGAATGTGCGGAATGCAGGTTGCTGAACGATTTTCGTTGATTCTTTTTGAAATAAATATAACACTTCGTCCAAGGAAGTTTCAACTTTTTTATTATGAGGAACACAACGTTTCGGAGCATATGCCTACTCGTTCATCGGGAGAATGAATGCTATGAGCTTTAGAGCATATATATATACAGTGTTGGCTTCAAATGCCTATTGCTAATCACCTATCAGCGCCAATTATATGTTGGCTTCCCTTGTTAAGTTTCCACCTTTTGTTATCTTATTAATTTTGTTGTTCTTACATGTAGATATATATGCTCTCAGGCTCATAGCATTCATTCACCTGATGAAGGAGCAAGCGTATACTCCGAAACGTTGTGTTCCTCATAATAAAGAAGTTGACATTGATAATTTCTCTTCCATATGTGTATCACTTCTAAATGCCTTTCAAAGGCTTTACTTCGTCCAAGTATCCATAAACACATTTGAATTATAGTTATGGAGTATATAGATATAAATCAAAGGAGACATTTCATTCTTCACAGAACTCTGACCAGTTTATTAATTCATCACGACGGGACTCTCGTTGGTAGTACCGTCAACGTGTTTACATGAAATAGACCATTTAGTTCTCTAATTACCTTAACATTTATACAGTCAAAGAGTTCAGCTGATCTGAATATCGTAATTAAAGATTAAATGTAGTTATGTTGCTTCGAAACAAAGACCTCCGTAGTTAGTTTAATTACGCATTGATAAATATAGCAATTTTTAGTCATGTTCTAATAAACTCCTGATTAACAAAGGCATAGAGTTCTTGGTGTAAAACGGCTTGGGAGAGCAGAAGGATTTTACACTCCGACCTTTATTCTCTGGAAGGTTTCTGTACCGTAAGCATTAAAATAAGAGATACGTGTATAGTGTTGACCGTTAGTACCTGCATAAGATGGTCACACAATCATTTAGTGAGTGAGTGAATTTGGTTTTACGCCACTTTGAACAGTATTTCAGTTACATCACAGCGTGTCAGCTTAATGTGCGAGGAAAGCCGGATGCGATGCAGGTCTCAGACGTTTACCAGTTTGGTGAAACCCTCGAGCACGGGTAAGGTGCTGATAAACCTAGAAACATAATCGGAGGTTTGTGGTTCGAATCCGCGTCATAACAAAAGTAATCATGGTACTGGGCATAGAGAGTGGAGACAACAAGGACTGGTCCACTAGGAGTCGGTATCATGTGTCGCAGTGGAATCACTGGTGGTGACCACAACAACGCAGATGATAACCCATCTGTTACTTTACATGAAGACGTAGCGAGACTTACGGGTTGTGGACCCTTGTAACAGTTGCAATAATGTAATTGACCAAATACAACATTGTCATAAGTCCCACTTCGAGTTCAGTAATTTGTAGAAAAGCAATTTTTAAAAAAGGATACAATTAAACAGTTCAAACCCTAAACTGAAACATTATTATCACACAATAATAATTTGTGGTGGGGTTTCGATGAAGTTATATCATTGTGTGAAATAGTGGTTGCTACTTTCTAGTGAATACGTGGAAACTGGCCACACCAAACTTGCCTAACGTTGTCTCATGATGTTTCGGGTAGCCCAGTGGTTAAAGCGTTCGCTCGTCACGCCGAAGATCCGGGTTCGATTCCCGACATGGGTGTCCCCCGCCGTGATATTGCTGGACTATTGCTAAAAGCGGCGTAAAACCATACTCAGTCACTCTTAATCCGTAACCGTTACATGATCAACTGTAACATTTATTCCTGGATGTGTTAACTTTGTTCAACTGTACAAACTTTGATGTTGTTACCTTGTTTATATAGTGTGCATAAAATGTTCCGGAACGGTGATGCAAATGAATGTCTTTCATTTCCACCAAGAGCTAATTCCCTCGAGGTGGTGTCAACATCATTGTTTATTTCATTCGGTAGAAGCTCATTGCATTGTATTTCGACCGTGATTGGTTGCCAGGAATTAAGTACTTGTTAATTTAAGCAGTTTTGAGGAAGTTAATATATTTAGATGCTAGTGTCATGTGTAAACTTCCGGAATACAGCGCATTGAGATAGAGAGAGATCAGAAACATGTGGAATATTCTATGTTGTGAGGCCACTGTGTGGAAATTTCCAGAAGCTAGTTAGACTGTAGGGGACAAGAGCGTTCCTATCGTATCTCTCTCACATATTTCATTATATCAAGACCAGCTTTCGTGTGAAGGTCACTAATCATTCCTGATTCCCTGCCTAGGCCTTTCTCGGAAGCTCAACAACTGTCGCCACTAAGTGAATATTCTATTGTCACTGATTTTGGCTATCACCACTGTATTTGTATATTTGATATGATTTTTATTGATTTGTTAACCAAGGTATTTTGGTTATACATTTGTGTGTTTTGTTTTTATTATTTAAATTACAGCAGTTTGATATCATGCAAATATGGGAATCAGTTTAACACATTTAACATTTGTATTCCATTTGTTGGTTGCTTGTCGGTTTCACACTAGGTTCGTTTTACATTTCTGGGTTCACATACTGTTTCAGTTTGGGAATCGACAACAACAGATGCAGTGGGCTAGCAAAAGTAATTAAGATTCAATTTCTTTGAAAATATTCAAAATGCAGGAATACTATGTGTGTGCGATCCTTATATCGTTGTCTACTTTGTCATCCGTCAACTTCTAAGGAATGCCTATCAAACAATTACTTTTTTATATCATACTGGAATTCGTGCAAAGTCCAAAGGTTATCAAGTCATGGCTGGAAGACTGTGGCCGTTCATTCTTGGAAAAGTAATTGCCTGGAAATATATCAACACTTTGACTTTATTATTCATCTGATCCAAACATACTGTATTTTCTAGACGGTAATTCATCGAAAATTAACACAAATACGACAAAATATACTCTTCAAAGAAACACAAAGACAGATTTGTGTGAGGTAGGAAAATACATTTATACGAGGACCGTACATGGTATTTAGCAAAAATTGTGTGGAGAGAACACTTTGTGATTGTAGTCATCTCAGTTATCGGTACACAGGAAAAGTCCAAGGTGAAGGTCATCTACCATCAATAACGCGTATGTCCCGTGTTGGAATCGATAGCGGCCTGACATCTACCCATGGAAGAGACGGGTGTCCGAATCACATCCTTGGGAAATGGTAGCCCACTCGGCCTGCAACGCAAAAGCCAACTGCTGCAACGTCTGGGGTTGTGGTTGACGTCGGCGTAGCCGTCCATCCAATTCATCCCACAGCTCTATCGGGTTCAAATCCGGGGATCTGGAAGGCCAGGGGAGAACATCAACGTTGTTGTTGTATAGACAGGCTGTTGTTGTCCCGTTCTCTTCCATCCCCTCGACGGAGGAGAAATCTTGATTCGTCGCTAAACCAGACATCTCTCCATCGCAGTTGAGGTCATACCCTGTCTTGACGACACCAATGCAGTCGTTGTTGACGATGTTGTCCACTCAATGTGATGCGTCGAACAGGACGTCTTTCTCGTAGACCTGTTGCTCTTAAGCGGTTTCGTACGGTCTGGTCGGAGATTCTGCGCAGTCCGGGTATTTGGGATGCGGTTGAGGTGGCTGTGGTCGTCCTTTCACGTAGGTGGCGCAGTCGGATGGAGTGATCTTGGGCGAGGGTGGTTACTCTTGGTCGTCCCGACCTTGGCCGGTCACGTGTTGACCCATGCTGTTGAAACCGATCCCATAGCCTTGTGATGGTGCTGGGCGCTACATTGAAAACCCTGGCTACAGCTGATCGGTATTCCCCTGCCTACAAACGGCCTATGACGTTGTTTCTCTGCACTTCTGTAAATCTTGGCATGTTGTTGAACTGTCACTGTTCGATTGACGCAGATTCCAGGCAATCAACACCCCTACATTTCAAAACCGTTCATAGTGCTGCTGCACGTGCATTACGTGCAGCTCCATGGCCCTTTTATTAATGCACCAGGTGTGTTTTTCCGAATCGTACGCGTTTTCCGACTAATCGTTTGCATGTCCTTGTTGTGATCACACTAGTTTAATAACGCTTCAGTCCACCCTCGGCCCGTGAAGATTAGGGGTAGAATAGGTCTTCAGCAACCCATGCTTTCGGTAAAAGGCGACTAACGGGATCCGGTGGTCAGGCTCGCTGACTTGGTTGATGCATGTCATCGACCCCAAATGCGTGGATCAATGCTCATACTGTCAATCATTGGATTGCCTAGTCCAGACACGATTACTTACAGACCGCCGTCATATAGCTGGAATATTGCTGAGTGCGGCGTTAAACAACAAACAAACAAACAAATAAGTCCACACTCTAAATACAACTTCTAAACAAGACAGGCATTGTGAAAACACTCGTCACAGATTGTGAAAACGGGATTTAATTCAGTCGCTGACAAAGCCCGTTCCACTCAGTGCTAAGGTAATCTTTTTAAGGTTATCGAATTTTGACCTTTCTTTGCCACATGTTATAATACCTCAATTTTATTCGTTAAAAGTTAGATCTGACCATGAACTCCTGTGTGTCGCAATCGGACAAATACCGGTGCCCAGTGTCCGATTGAACATCTCTCTGATTTTCTTACTCACAAGGGATTTTAAAGATGAAAGTGTTCTACCTCTTGCAGATTTATAAACTAATCGACGACCACGTGGAAACAATCCGATGATAAAAAGGAAATGTCCTTTCTCTATTGATTCCCTTCGAAACCCCGAGTTTCTGTCACCAACATTATGTACAAGGCAACAACTTCATTAAAGCTATCGCGGCGGTAATCATCATTTCAAAGGTTTAATTGGATACAATTTTCTAAGGTTTCTGAGATGCATTTTACACAGTTTACACAGTTTGTCATCCATCTAAGGACGGTCTAGATCATAAGAACATACACACTGCAAATGTATCTAAATCACGAGCAGTGTCACAGTCGCAGCTAGCCAGCAACATAATAACAAAGAGTTTATTGAATTTATTATTTTATTAAAACAACAATGAAAGCGCAAGAACTCACAGCACAATCGTAACGTTTCCCAAACTCGGTCTTTTAAACAACATCGTTTCCCTCTATTCATTGAACATAAAAAAATAGACACTACCATTCTGTCAAAACATCTGAAATACATGTAAGTATAATGAAAATAGTGGGTATTATAATCATAGTCTCATAAATGTTTTTGATAAAAATTTGCGTTGCTGCCGTGGATGTCGTCTTTGGTGTGGTTTTCATGAACATATAACGCCGCTTCGAAGAGTATTTAAGTCGCTTGGAACAGTATTTAAGTCACATCGAATAGTTTTTAAGTAGCTTCGAATAGTATTTATTGAGTGAGTGAGTGAGTTGGGTTTAACGCCGCTTTTAACAGTATTCCAGTTATATCGCGGCTTAATGTGGGAGGAAAGCCCGAAGTGATAGAGGTCTCAGACGTTAACCACTTCGGTGAAACTCGCGAGCAAGGGTATGGTCCTGACAAACCTAGAAACATAATCGGGGCGAACCGGGATTCGAACCCACAAACATAGGTTTCTGGCGTGCCCAAGGGACGCAACTCTGCACAGCTTAACGCGGCGCCTTAGACGACTGGGCAACCCGTGCCCCCAGTATTTATTGCGGCGTGTTGGTTGAATGCGTTGTAGTAGAAGTTACCAAGAGCAAGGCTTTAGTACTGACGGTCCAAGGATTATAATCGTGACGAATTTTGGTTGTGAAGTCACTACTAGGGGAGGTAACTATGTGCAGTTCTGCGCTTTGGTCCACTGCCCCACCCGTCGTATGTTTCACTAGTTTTAGATTAGTGTTTAAAGCAATATTAAGTACAAACGCAAAACATAGGTACATCACGTAAACCATCAACTGCGATATACAGATAATATGATTGTTACTGAAGCATAACTAATGCTGAAGATGGCGTTGCATAACATGCTGGAAAGCAGCCACCTCTGTCGTCATTCTGGACCAAAACTCCTCACACGGGTCCCATGATGGAAGAGTCGCCGGGTCCGTCAGCCCAGTGTGGCGGCCATGTTGCTTTCACGGATGGCCTGTCCTTGACCTTGTCGTAGTAGGCACCAATGGCGGGATATTTCGAGACGTCAAGGCCGAGTCTCACCCCGAAGGCGACATACGGGAAGAAGAAGACATCCGCCATTGTGAAGTTGCTGCCGACCACGTACCCTCCGCTCTGTAGCAAGTGACCACATATAATAATCACTGTATTCTTCTAGTATTTACACATAACAAGCTTGGCGTCAAGTAACTAGAAAAGCCTTAGGAAAAGCTTACATAATTTGAAATGTATGGCGTATGCAGAATCAAACAACGGGTATGGGGAATCAAACACTGGGTTTAGGGGATCAAACACTGGGTATGGGGGAATCAAACACTGGGTTTAGGGGATCAAACACTGGGTATGGGGGAATCAAACACTGGGTATGGGGAATCAAACAATAGGTGAGGGGAATCAAACACTGGGTATGGGGAATCAAACACTGGGTATGGGGAATGAAACACCCGGCATGGGGGAATCAAACACTGGGTTTTGGGCATCAAACACTGGGTGTGGGGAATCACACTCTGTGTATGAGAATCAAACACCGGGTATAGGGGAATCAAACACTGGGTATAGGGGAATTAAGCACCCGGTATGGGGAATGAACAAGGGATGTGGGGAATTAAACACCTAGCATGGGGGAATCAAACACTGGGTGTGGGGAATCACACTCTGGGTATGGGAAATCAAAGACTGGGTGTGTGGAATCAAACACCAGATATGGGGAATCAAACGCAGGGTATTTGGAATCAAACACCAGCTGCAGACATGGGGGAATCAAACACCAGCTGCACACATGGGGGAATCAAAAACCAGCTGCAGACATGGGGGGATCAAACACCAGGTATAGACATGGGGGAATCAAACACCAGCTGTAGACATGGGGGAATCAAACATCAGCTGCAGACATGGGGGAATCAAACACCAGCTGCAGACATGGGGGAATCAAACACCAGCTGCAGACATGGGGGAATCAAACATCAGCTGCAGACATGGGGGAACCAAACACCAGCTGCAGACATGGGGAAATCAAACACCAGCTGTAGACATGGGGGAATTAAACACCAGTTGCAGACATGGGGGGAATCAAACACCAGCTGCAGACATGGCGGGATCAAACACCAGCTGCAGACATGGGGGAATCAAACACCAGCTGCAGACATGGGGGAATCAAACACCAGCTGCAGACATGGGGGAATCAAACACCAGCTGTAGACATGGGGGAATTAAACACCAGTTGCAGACATGGGGGGAATCAAACACCAGCTGCAGACATGGCGGGATCAAACACCAGCTGCAGACATGGGGGAATCAAACACCAGCTGCAGACATGGGGGAATCAAACACCAGCTGCAGACATGGGGGAATCAAACACAAGCTGCAGGCATGGAGGAATCAAACACCAGCTGCAGACATGGCAGAATCAAACACCAGCTGCAGACATGGGGGAATCAAACACAAGCTGCAGGCATGGAGGAATCAAACACCAGCTGCAGACATGGCAGAATCAAACAGCAGGTATTGGGAAATAAAGCAGCAGGTATAGGGGAAATCAAACACAAGGCATGGGTAAGGGATCCAGAGTATAGCAATTCAACCCCTGGCGTGGTCCGCATGATAAGTAACGGTACATACAGCCGCGAGGTAGTCCTCCCATCTCTTCAACTCAGTCCGAACATCCTCGTACTTCGTCTTCAACAGCTCCTGAAATACAAGAAACAACATCAACAACATCGCACCAGGGATAAAGGGAAGGAGAGAGGGAAGGGTTTGGTTATGGGCATATCTACCCTTCATGCGTAAAATTGAAACATGAATTGTAGAAGATAAACTGGTGGGTGATGACATGAGCAGCAATCCCGAGGCGAAATGTCACACTGACAGTCATGCTGCGACTGACATGTAATCTTCACCCGATGAACGGCGGTCACTCATTTTCAAGGGTGGTAATCGTCAGCGATGGTAGTTGCCACTTATTCACGGTGATTGGCTTCACCAGTGATAGCGGTCACTCATACAAGGGGGCGGTCTTCACGAATGGTGGTGGTCACTCATACAAGGGGGCGGTCTTCACGAATGGCGGTGGTCACTCATACAAGGGGGCGGTCTTCACGAATGGTGGTGGTCACTTATTCAAGGGGGGCGGTCTTCACGAATGGTGGTCACTCATTCAAGGGGGGCGGTCTTCACGAAAGGTGGTGGTCACTCATTCAAGGGGGCGGTCTTCACGAATGGTGGTGGTCACTCATTCAAGGGGGTGGTGGTCTTCACGAATGGTGGTGGTCACTCATTCAAGGGGGGCGGTCTTCACGAATGGTGTTGGTCACTCATTCAAGGGGGTGGTGGTCTTCACGAATGGTGGTGGTCACTCATTCAAGGGGGGGGGGTCTTCACGAATGGTGGTGGTCACTCATTCAAGGGGGCGGTCTTCACGAATGGTTGTGGTCACTCATTCAAGGGGGTCGGTCTCCACGAATGATGGTGGTCACTCATTCAAGGGGGGCGGTCTCACGAATGGTGGTGGTCATTCATTCAAGGGGGGCGGTCTTCACGAAAGGTGGTGGTCACTCATTCAAGGGGGGCGGTCTCCACGAATGGTTGTGGTCCCTCATTCAAGGGGGGCGGTCTCACGAATGGTTGTAGTCACTCATTCAAGGGGGGCGGTCTCCACGAATGGTGGTGGTCATTCATTCAAGGGGGGCGGTCTCCACGAAAGGTGGTGGTCACTCATTCAAGGGGGGTGGTCTCCACGAATGGTGGTGGCCACTCATTCAAGGGGGGCGGTCTCACGAATGGTGGTAGTCACTCATTCAAGGGGGGCGGTCTTCACGAATGGTGGTGGTCACTCATTCAAGGGGGCGGTCTCACGAATTGTGGTAGTCACTCATTCAAGAGGGACGGTCTTCACGGATGGTGGTAGTCACTCATTCAAGGATGGCAGTCTTCCTCGACGCTGGTCACACATTCAAAGGGGGAGCTTGGATTTTTTTTCAAATAATTTGTACTATCATGTTCCTCCAGGTTTTAGATAATTACAATCGTTCCCTGGACATTCTGGACGTCCTGTCAAACAATGTGGAGCTGTTCGGAGTTTCCTTTCTATTTGTAACCAAAATCCAATCCCCCAACAGGTGCCTCCCGACATAAGAATCGGCGCGATACCAGGATATACCTGTTCTACGCTATAACCCCTTAACTTACCTCATCAAGTTTGTCTTTAGGGGTCCTGAATCTATATTGAGCGAGGTTTTTGATGATGCAACTGGTCAAATTTTCCACCTGCAGAAATCAAAATAAGCAGATATAAAATGTATGCAAATGTATGCAATCTATGTAAAATGTACGACACTTTGATAGAACATATATTGGGCGTTTACCAATATGTATACATGTCCGCATACACGCAGTAGTGCTATTGTCCGAGCCTTGCCTGAAAGTGGGATCATATATGATTTTCAACTGACTTGTCACAACGAAACAATTAGCTCAGTTGACTCAATGTTTTGCAACCGCCTTCGTGGTCTAGCAGTGGAGCGTCCGCCCGGAGAGCAGAAGGCCCGGGGTTCGATCCCCGGCCGCGTCTCACCAAAATACGTTTAAAGATGGTACTTGTTGTTACCCTGTCTGGCGCTCGGCATAAAGGGGCTAAAACAAGGACTGGTCGGCTCGGAGTCAGTATTCTGTGTCTGAATGGGGTAATCATGTTAAACTGCGACATGGTATCTCAGTGAGCTAGCACTATAAATCGGTTTTGTCCGGACTAGTACAGCCACACACACACGTGCATGCACGTCGCTATATATGTTCAATAATCTTGGACGCGACGTTAAACCCCATTTCACCTCACGTCACCTCAATGTTTTGCTATCTTATCTCTGTGACATCATGTAATGTCCATAGTAAAACGCTTCACAATTACGCAATTCCTTCTGTGTCAAGGTCAGCTGTATGCAGTCCCAATCAGCTCGTGTGCAGTGTCAAATGCAATCAGCCACAACAACCTTATATGCCGTTTGTAACCTATAGTATGAATACAAAGGCAGGACTCTTGTCACAATCAGGTATTATACAGCCTCAATTTGCTAGGTCGCAGCCATAATCTGGTACAGTAGTATACAATTACAATCAGCTAGTCTTGAGTCACAATTAACCGGGGCGGTGGGGTAGTCTAGTGGTTAAAGCGTTCGCTCGTCACGCCGAAGACCCGGGTTCGATTCCCCACATGGGTACAATGTGTGAAGCCCATTTGTGGTGTCCCCCCGCCGATATATTGCTGGAATATTGCTAAAAGCGGCGTAAAACCATGCTCACTCACTCACTCACTCACAATTAACCGGTTTTCTAGCAAACGGATACAAGCTAGAATGCAATCTCTGGTTATAACAAACAACGTTTACAGACAGGGGTTTTCAAGTAGGTTCGAGATGTTTTGTACGTTTACATTGTTTCTATCTCGAACTTCGAAGTAGACCGATTTCTCTCACCTCGGTAACTCTCTGCAAGATTCGGGCATACTCAGAGATGTCGGTTGGTACCAGCTTTGTACCTTGGCCTGGAAATTTTCTCTGCAAAAAAAAGTAAAAATCTATATATTTTGAAACTGTGAGCTGACCCGTCGGGTTTGATGGATTTGTAAAGTATACTGCCATTTAGGTCCGTGTCAGTTTAATATGTTAAATGACTGCTTCCGACACTATCAGCCAATTGTTACCCAACCCTTTGTATAAAATAGAGCCCAAGTCAAGGCCCATTCTCATTGTTGAGTGCTTAATCCCCATCTTACATTATCTTAATCCGTAAGGGGCGGTCGGGTGGCCTAGTGGTTAAAGCGAAAACCCGGGTTCGATTCCCGACAAGGGTAAAATGTCTGATTTCATTTCTGGTGTCCCCCGCCGTGACATTCCTGGAATCTTGCTAAAAGCGGCGTAAAACCATACTCACTCACTCTTAATCCGTAACCGTTAAATGATCAACTGTAATATTGTATACCTGGATGTGTTAACTTTGTGCAACTGTGAAAAATTGATGCTGTTATCTTGTTTATATATTGTGCACAAAATGTTCCGGAACGGGGATGCAGATGAATGTCTTTCATTTCCACCAAGAGCTAATTCCCTCGAGGTGGTGTCAACATCATTGTTTATTTCATCTAATTCAGTGGCGTCTCAACAGGATAACGCTACTTTCAGAACATACTGAGGACTACGCGACATCTTTCCGTAACCTACAAAAAATATTGTCCCGGAATGACAATAGTTGGTCATGAATGAAAAATAAACAAAATGACGTCACAAACGTTCGAATTCATTACCACTCGCAGTTATCTGTAAAACATTCTGGAATGACGCGAGTGGTGACGGATGCATCCACTGGTCTATCGGTTTTGCAGCTAATGCAAGCCGACCGGTTTGATAAGGGCTGATAAATAACTGTGACTAACCACACAACGCAGGCAACTATCATGACCCGCCCGTGCACAACAACGTGAACGTCTTGTATACGATGTAGTCGGTTGATAACTTGCTAACATAACGCCCCATCACGATGTTACAGAATTGACATGATACTATCCGCCCCCTGACCCCCACCCCCCCCCCCCCCCCCCCCCCCACACACACACACCTGGTTTGTAATCAGGTTCAAATTTTGTTTTTACAATTAAATTTGATGTATTTCTAGTTTACCTCAAGATAGAAGCAGATGGCATTAGACTCGTTCACAACAACGTCCCCATCTTTGAAGGTCGGTACCTGAAACAGATTTCATCCCCAATTCAATGTAGACAATAGAGATTTATTATTTACGATATATGCTCATTTACAGCGCAGATGATGGTCTCCTGGAGAAAGATATACTTATACATATAAAAAAATTAACAAATATTTAAAAAAAATAACCTTTGATTTACAATGTAACGATTTCGACAAAAAAAAGTCTGGAAAAAAAAGATGTATGGTTGAGTCGGGAAAGCACATTTTGATGAGTTTCAGACGACATGTGTATTCATATTAAATAAGAAAAATATTTAGAAAGCCATTGTTAACATATTATTCATAATTTATCGATTTCGACAATTGCAAATCAATCTTGAAGAATGGATATTTGTGGTTGAACTGAGAGAGCACAATTTGCTTCGCTTCATTCATATGAACATACCAAATGTTTTTGAAAAGTTAACATCTTATTCATGATTTAGTTATTTCGGCAAAAAGTCTCTTGAATTATGGAGTATATGGTTAAACGGATGCTGTCATGCAACCCGCTAGCAGTGTCTGTAATCTTCGGGTTGAAGAAGGAAGAAAGGGTATTGCGTTTAACGTTGATATTTATAATGTCTAATCGATGTTCTCTATCCATTACATATTTCTTATGATTAAAAAATAACATTTCGATTTAAAGGAAACAAAATGTTTTGTAAATGACAGTACCCATGACAAAGGAATTTTTATCATACGTCTAGTCGCATTTTAAGCAAGTACATAGAGACTCTAATGTGTCTAGGCAGACCTAAATAGCTCAATTAATACACGTATGGAAGTACACAGCCTTTGAACTCCGAAATTTAGTGTTTTTATTATGCTATAATTAACAATTATTGGACCCAAAGCGACTCCAAACGAAGTCGATGACGATGCACTTTTGAGGCCCACGACAACAAACACCTACCTGTCCGCGAGGGTTGAGTTTCAAGATTTCCTCCGATTTGTGTTCCTTGTCGCCGAAGGAAATCTTCTTATTCGGGTAGCCCGCCAGTCCCTTTTCTTCCAGCGCTATCATGGCCTTCCAACAAGGAATGCTCCCAGAACCCCAGTACAGAAACATGTTGGACGACATGTTGGAAACGCTCACTCGTTCTACAATTTCTTCTCACTGTGCAGTATGTACACGATGCACTCTGTCGGCAAGGGGAGTGTTCGGGGAGGTGTGTCAGTTCAAAGGTCTAGGGCGACAAGAGATATGAAACGAGGCCAGTGTAAAAAAAAATATATTCAAGGACGGTGGGGGCCAACTGAGAAATGTAAGGGAGGTAACTGTAGCATTAGAATCTTATGTTGTTGGTAATACGTTTTGTTTTCTTATTGTTCTGAAAACACTGTAATTGTTTTACGATTACTACTGATGTTTGATGTGCGACTGTAAACTGACGCACAGATTAACCTGCACCAACGTTAGATATTTTTCTTTGGAGTAAATTCTCATTTTGAGTAAACCTTTAGAATAGTAGGCAGACAGTTACAATTCGACGCCAGAGTCCCCAGTACTCACTTCCTGTAGTACTAGCAGGCTAAAGGAGGATCGGGTGGTTAAAATGGCGACTTACCCGTGCCCCGGGGACATGGGTCAGTGCTCACAGTACAATCCACTGATTTACTTGGTCAAGATGCGATTACAGTAAACTACTGCTATAACGAACTCGAAGGGACCACTTATTTTAGTTCGTAATAACCATAGTTCGTTATAAGCATATATACAGCATTTATACAACAAATGGTCGGGGCTAAAAAATAAGTTCGTTATATCAGTAAGTTCGTTATAAGCGTATTCGTTACAAACGTAGTTTACTGTGTGTTCAGACAGTCTTGATATAGTTGTAATATTGCGGACTGCAGTGTTAAACAACATTCATTCCCTTAAGGCGAGGAATCACTATTTGTGTTTCAAGACGTTTAAAGCCGCATTTTAACGACGGGTCATAGATAACAACTCCCCAAAGTGTGTTTACGTTCCAAAGGATATATACTTTGATTAATACCTTGTCACCGGGCCCGTGAAGATCCGGGTAGAGAATAGGTCTTCAGCAATCCATGCTTGCTGTAAGAGGCGGCTAACGGGATCGGATGACCGGAACCTCACGGGGCCATAACGATGTAGTGAGAAAGTTATAACCATCATGCTGAAATAGGTTATGACAAACGGCCGATTGCCAGATGTCCGTCACTACAGGGCGAGTTGGCGTTCTATGGGAGGAAAGTAACTGTCGGAGGTCGTCCATATGTACGCGGTATAACCAATGGCTATGGTTCTGGGAAAATAAGAAGACACATTTGATTATTTACGTCACTGCTTGATCAAAAAGCACCATTGTCGCAGCCAGCCAATAACAACAAGCGAGGACATGGAATGTTTCTTTTTATTAAACGACAATAAAAAAAGGCACAAGACAGCCACAGCACCAACATAAAGTTTCATCTACAATTGTTTAAACACGGTTATACACACTTGTCTCTGTTGCACATAACAAATACCTTTACAAAACTTAAACATAACCAGACTGTTGAAATAAATGTTAGTACCAAGATGAGATCGCCATAATAATTGTTCCGGAAAGAATGAGCGTTGCAGATACGAAATCGGAGTATTGTTTGTTTATTTGTTTGTTGTTTAACGCCGCAATATTCCAGGGTGAAAGTGTAGAGTGTGTGGAGTAAACGTGAGGGGGATAAGTTAAAAATATAACGCCGCCTTGAACAGTATTTAAATCACATCACAGGGTGTTGCTTAAATGCGGTAGCATCATATGTTTACCATGAGCACCGTTATGATGCTGACAGGCCTCTCAGTGTGGCGGCCATGATGCTTTCACTGATGGTCTGTCCGTGTTCTTGTCGTAGTAGGCACAAATATTACATTGTGCAATGCAGATATATATATTGCTGTAAAGAGAAAATAACGAAACTTTATTTATTTGTTTGTGTGGGAATTTGTAACAACAGTTCAGAATAATAAAACATGAAAAGCAAGGTCAAATGAAATTAAGAATGACCTTTATCTGTTACAATCATTTCATGGTGTCAAAGCAAACTGGATGTAAGCACGGCAATGTTAATACAATTACCATTATAGACATTGAACATTAGTATTAATATATTGCTTTAAATTTATAAGATGAAAATTTGAAGTTGGTTTTCGTACCCATGAATTATAATATATATATTAACACTAATACAAAGGCTCTTGTTTTTTTCATATTGACAAATTTAAAAATGCCATAATAATTATTAGTTCATCATAAGTGAAATAGGAGGCAACAAACAGCCACCATTCATCCCTATACACCATGCACCGATTTACTGACGGATTTACGTTGCATAAGACCTTCACTTCACTCGTGTACGATCAGTCTCAATTGACGAGTCAACTGAGAGCTTTACAGTTTATAACGAAACATTTTAGAGAGAATAACAAACGACAAGAAGTGATATTAACTGCATAAATGAACATCTGTTATTATTTTGCCTTGTCAATGTGGAACTAACGCAAAATGGACGTCAACAGTTTGTGAACGGGCCAGACACTTACGACTGCGGGAGACAATGTAAGGGGAGTTAACAGTTCCGTCAAAGTGTTTTGTTCACTGCAGTGAAATATCAAGTGTTGTGTTCACTGCAATGAAAATATCACTTTTCTCAACTTCGGAAAACTCAGTTTTTCACACTGTAGTATATAATAAATGAAATATCCCCCATATATCAAATTTGACCCCCTATGAACAATGGACACGTATGTAAAGTACTCGAATGCTGACAAAAGGGCCCTGCAAGATGTTACAGTGATGACATAAAACTCATACTGAACTACATATCAAGATATGATACAAATAAAACCCAAAATGTTACATGGAGGACATTTTTATCAAGCAGTATGTCACTTTTAGCAGGGACCGTTTGTTGAAGTAATGCAGTTTTTACCCTCGAACACGGGGATGCTACTAAAGGAACATTCATTTGTCCATTTTAAATGAACAGTTTGTTCAGAATTGTGCTCAAAATGAATAGTTTGCGTTATCTGTGGAATGAATAGATTAATTGATGGTGCTCAGTAAATAATTAGTTTGTAAGATATAGCTGGGGCAAAATTACCCCCTGCAGTTGGATGCTCCCTAATAAACCAAGAAACACACTCAGGGCGAATACAGGATTCGCACCCGCGATCACAGGTCTCTGACACACCTAAGGGAAGCAACTCTGCATGCAGACGAGTGGTCCACCGTGCGCAGAGAGATGTTTGCCCAAAAAATTGATGTGTGTTTAACTTACTTCAAGGTAGAAGCTGATGGCAACAGACTCGTTCACAACAACGTCGCCATCTTTGAGGGTCGGTACCTGAAGCAAATTTCATAGCCAATGTAAGGCAATAGAGATTGACATTATCAGGATATACTCGTTTGCCTCCTAAGCATTTTGTTGGTCTTCGAACGAACAAATAATGATATCCATATCAACATAAATCAAATATTCAAAAGGATGATGAATTCCTAATTAATTGATTCGACATTTGCAAGACTCCGTAATCATGGAGATGTGTTGCGAACGGTACCTCATGTTTGTTAACGGGTTCATGCAGACAATATTGTTTTGTTTTTAAAGCCTATCTTAACATCTGATAATTTAGTGATCTCCAAACCAGCAAGTTTCTCTTGAATAATGGATGTGTGTTGTACAAATGATTACAAATATATCTACAAAATAACAAAAGAAAATCCAAATAGTGCAGGTATGACATTTTTGACTGGTGCAATCGTCTCGGCAGAAAACGGTGTCGATGCACTTTTGAGCCCCATGCCTGGGTGAGTTTCACTATTTCTTCCAATTTGTTTTCTTTCTCGCTGAAGGAAATCTTCTTATTCGGGTAGCCCGCCAGTCCCTTTTCTTCCAGCACAATCATGACCTTCCAGCAATTAACGCTTCCAGACCCCCAGTACAGAAACATGTTGGACGACATGTTTGAAGCGCTCAATCGCCAGTTTCGTCTTACAGAGTAGTGTAGACCCACTGCTCGTTTGCAGTCGATAAGCAGGTTTGCAGGTCGGCGTACCAGTTCAAATTTCAAGGAGACAAGCGACAACAAATCGAGTGTCACGGTGACAAATATAGTACAAAGGGGGAAGGGGGAAGTATAATCTAAGGGAGGTAACTCAGGCTTACCAAGGAAAACCAGCCGAATACACTGTGGAATATGTACACACTTAAAAAGGAAATAGCCACACGCATTAGAAATAAAGACACAATCCCCGTAAAGTGTACATCGTAATGATAAAAACACGGAACGTTTTCAATGGAACCAAATTCAGTAAATCACGCAGTATGGAACCATTCCTTATGGATAATATGACGTTTACCTAAAAACAATATTTGCTTTCATTTTTCATTTCATGAAGAAAAAATGAGGACGGACCAAAAATAAATTTAATGTTTACCTTTTATTTTGATCAGAAGAGAAATTGTTCATTTATTACCCATATGGTTAGAGTTATTAAAATCGTATGTGCACTTGTGCAAATATCACTTCACACATGATGATATTTTGTTAAAACATTTGTTGTAAACAAACTACAGCAGATGTTCCTGTAGAGCAAGTCGAGCATACATACGCTCATGTTACCTCTCTTTTTTAGGACCGCCTCCGTGATCTAGTGGTAGAGCGTCCGCCCGGAGAGCGGAAGGTCAGGGGTTCGATCCCGGGCCGCGTCTTACAAAACGACGTTAAAAGATTTACTTGTTGTTACCCTGTCTGGCGCTCGGCATTAAGGGGCTAAAACAAGGACTGGTCGGCTCGGAGTCAGTATACTGTGTCTGAGTGGGGTATTCATGTTAAACTGCGGCATGGTATCTCAGTGAGCTAGCACTATAAATCGGCATCAGTCCGGACTAGTACAAGCAGCCACACATACACGTGCATGCACGTCGCTATATAAGTGCAATAATCTTTGACGCGACGTTAAACCCAATTTCACCTCACCTCTCTTTTTTAGGAACTATTTTATTCCGCGATACAGCTGGTTGTTGCATGGCTGTCATGAAGTCACACTTACTAAATAAAGTTGTGTATAAATTTAGGCCTAGACCTACATCTTTCGAGGTAAAAAATAGTGATAGGCCTATAAAGAATTATAAGAATTGACTTTTACTTTGTGTGAGTTTATTGGAGTATGGATCTTC